CTACCTTCAAAACATTTCACAGACATTAACTTCTGATCTTGAAACAGACTCATGAAATTAATTATTACTCCATATATGGATGTGGAAACTGACAGAAGCAGGAGGACTCCCCAAGATTTAAGAGGGAATGAATCGGGGAGAAGGAATGACACTTGAGAGTTCTTGGCTCCCCTTCTTGTGTTTGAACTACTAGATGATGTTGGGCCTTCACTTAGCCCCTGATATGTTACATTTAAGACACGATTTAACAGGTTAATTGCACCCTAAATACTAACCTGCGCACATGTGCAAGTCAATTTAAGGTGTGATAATACAGTAAACAAGTCACAAAATTATTTGACACATAATATGGACTAACTTTGGCTCACTTGTATCATACCTTAAATTTAATGTGTGGCCACCTGTGCGCTAAACCAGCTGGGTGGCACACTTTGTTTAATAGCTCCTGGTGCATGGGGAGCCTGGCATCAGTCTATGACAACCTGATCCTGAGGTCACTGTTTGCTGGGACCTGTCCAGCTGGGCAGCACATGTGGTTATATAGCTCCCAGTGCACAGGGGCACATCCAGATGCCAGGTTCCCCATGTACCAGGAGCTATAAAAGCCACGTGTGCCACTCAGCTCAGCAGCGCATGGGTTTTTCTCATCCCCAGTGCATGGGAAGCCTGGGAATGGGCTTCAACAGCATGATCCTGAGTTTCCTGTGCCGCCACCCCTCCCCCCCACCCCACCCCACCCGGCCCCAGGTGGGATTTTTGACACAAGCAAGTAAGGCACAACTGGGATCTGATCGTTGATCCTGAAATTGTGTGTTCTTTGCACATGTGGCATGGCAGGAGGCCCAATTATTGGCATTGCTGATTAGATCCCATCATGTCTTCAAGTGAGTATCTTTCAGGGGTTAACTATCTCCTTATGCTAGGAGAGGGGGTGAGTAGTTACTTTCTACTGGGACTTGAATTTTAAGAATAGATATATTAGTTCTTCATAATGTTCAGGAGTTTTACAGCCACACTTATGTTTCTGTCTGTCTGTCTTAATGGTAAGATTCTGAAACAGTGTATAGACCAGTAGTGCGTAGCTGGCCTTTACACACTATAAACTTGTACATATAATTGGGAAAAATCTCATTTTGATACTTGGCTCAACTGAAGCTTAAAATGAACTTTTTTTTTTTCTATTAGCCGTATTTGAAAGGGACAGAGCTGCACATTCATGCTGTAAACTCTTCAGTTAATACCTCTGGATTAATTTAATAGTTTCTGAAAGAATAATAGCTGTTGAACTGATAGGAGGGAGCCATTTCTTTCCTAGTGTTATCTTGCTACCTTTATCTTTAGCATACTGGTGAAATGAGTATGCTAAGTGTAATGACATAGGGTTTATGTAGGCTTCATTAAAGGGGGAAAGGACATACATTGATTTTATGTAACTTTGTTCTCCTTAAAAGGATTATAGCAATACTATTCAATTTTACAGGTCTTCTTGCCGGGTTGCAAGCTACTTCTTTCTCAATCAGAACTTCAGCAACAATTTCCTCAACTGAAAAAGTTCCACATTCTTTGTGGAAACTTGGCCGTCTCAATCATGTAGCAATTGCAGTCCCTGATTTAGAAAAGGCCCGATCTTTGTACAAAGATGTGCTAGGAGCCCAGGTGAGTGAGACAGTTCCTCTTCCTGAACATGGTGTCTACACTGTTTTTGTGGAACTGGGAAATACGAAGCTGGAACTGCTGCACCCTCTTGGAGAGAGAAGTCCAATTGCAGGCTTTCTGCAGAAAAACAAAGCTGGAGGAATGCATCATGTCTGCATTGAGGTATTCTAGTTGCACATTATTTTTTTTAAATACTTTGTTAAAAAGCTGCATATTTTTTCATCTATTTGACCCAAATAAAGGAAAAACATGATGCTTGCTTGTTGTTTTTGTGGGGATTTCTGTTGAATGAGGGGGGGAAAGTTAATTTGTAGCTTGAAATTTATAGTTCACTTTGACTTTGTCAGGATTCAAGCCTTTTAAGAAAATATACCCAGTTCAAATAATTGATTTCCAGTGTCATGCCTGCAAGATACAAAAGAAATGCATGGAATGTAGATCTTCAAGAGGAGGCTAGATAGTCATCTGCCTGGGGTCATCTGACCTCGGTCCTCTTTCCTGGCAGGGGGCGGACACGATGATCCATTGTGGTCCCTTCTGACTCTAGAATCTATGAATGTCTTGGGAAAAGGTCACTTTGCAAGTTACAAGTCCATCTTTTTTTCCTCCTTTGCAAGTGAGTCTTGATATATGCAGAATAAAACTGCTGATAAAGTGGTGTCTTGTGGTTTTTTAAACACACCACAGCTGTGACTATTGAAGAACAGTATCAAAGTTTTAAAGTTGTCACTATATATTGCATCCATATACTGTATTTTCTTGCATACAATATGCACCTTCCCTTCCCTGCTCCCCAATCAACTCCCTTGTAGAGTAAGCAGAGAAGCTGATTTTTTTACACCAGAGACGAAAGCACCCAGCTTTGATTCCTGTCCTACAGTGCAGCAGCTGTGGTGTTATTATTCAGGCAGCTGTGGAAGTCCAGTTGATGTAATGGCTCGCTGTTAAAACCTGTAGAATAAAGAACAACCATCTCTCCTTTTTAATAGTCTTCCTTTAAAAGGAGATGGTTGTTCCACTACTTAAGTCAACCTTTCTTAGGACAACTTCATTGTCTGTCAGCTGCTCCTGGCCTCTTCTATTATTTCATAATCCTGGAGACTGTTTAGTTCTCTTCAAAATTGGAAAAGAAAAATCTGAACCACTTGTGGGCCAGTCTTCAGCAGAATCTAGGTTTTGGCTTTACTTAAGTTGTAAAGGGAGAGTGAGTGAGCTGAAGATTAGGCTCTGTCACTGCTTTATGCAGCCGTAACTCTGAAAAAGTCTTGTTTGTGAAAGGCAGAATGAAGCGAAAGGTACATATTGTATTTGGGGGCATATAATATGCAGGAAAATATGGAGTATGTATATATAATGAATTCCTCATGGTTTATAGGTTCTTGTCTTGCAGATGCATGCTTGCTTAACCTTGCGCGTGCAAGCAGTCCTACTGAACTTTTTAATGGGATTACTGATGGAACTAAAGTTCAAGTTAAGTGTTCTGTCAGATTGTGGCTATGAACAATCATGTAGTCAGCTACATAATTGCACAGAAAAATATAAAAAACTGTATATATGCAGCATAGCCAAGTCTTCCCCTACACTAAGTCCTAATATTGTCACAGTAGATATTGGGTGAAAAAAACCAGCCTAACTGCCCTGTGAAACGCATGCGGAACAACTGGTATCTCAAATCTACTAACTCATATTTCCCATTCAGAACTTTTAACAGCCAATTTTATAAGTGGGTGTTAACTTTTTTCCCATAAGGTTAGACTGAATCTGAGTAACTGTTAGTTGGTCTTAACTCTTTTTTTTCCACCTAAGACTTATATTTGACTTCCTGTAGAGAATTAATTGCATTAACACCTACTATTGTACCTGAAACCCAGAGAGAGTTCCCTGATTCTATGAGCCTTCTGTTGTGGTAAACTGATATTTTACCTGCTAATTAGGACAGAAAATACATTGCCATATAGACTTGCTCATTACATAGCATCAAAACTTTTGGCTATATTCTCTGTGGCACAAGAAACAAAATCTTTATGGCAGTGAATTGCTGTCAACAAGGAACATTGAGAAATAAAATTGAGTGCTTAGATGGAAGTGCTCCAGTTTTCTGTTGCTATGGAAGTTTGTCATTGAATGACTGTAGAATCAATGCAAGTGAAACTTATAACAGAAATCTTTTAATTGATTTGGATCTCCTTGCATACATACGCGTTGAAAGATTGTTGTAGCTTTTTGCTATATATGAACATAATTCACTTAACTAAAGCTCCCACATTTAACTTGTCCTTTACCTTAATGTTCAGCTGCTACTCCAATACTAAGATGGCTTGGCAAAACTGAGGAGGAAATATTGCTCGTAGTTATACTTGTATAGGCCTTTCATAAAAGGAGGTCACAAAACATTTTACAGCCAAAAGCAATATTGTGAGGTCTTTCTGTTTTATAAAGCAGTACAGTGAATTAAAAATATATTCAGTTGAGCTATTCAAGATTAGACAGTCACCCAGTGGTATGGGAAAGCATAAAAGCCATGAGTGGTGACACTGTCACATGCTTTACCCACTACATGTCCTGCTTCCAAGTATGAATATTTATATGTAATATGAATAATAAATGTAATGTAATATAATTGCAGTCTGTTTTCACAATTCATATAAGCATGGTAATTCTGGGCTGTATTTATTTTGCATACAAGCCTTGCTAACACATTAAACAGGATAACTAATTAATTGCATAACTCCATCCTGATGATAAGATGGAATCAACATGCCTGAGTAGAGAAGGGGAGTGATTTGCTTCTGAATAGCAATCTATGATTATGACAAATATTAGGTTTAAGCCTGCTGAATTTTAAGAGGAGATAATTTGGCATCATCTTATGCATGGCGGGGGAGGGGGGAAAGGCAAAATTAAACAGTACATAAAAAGACATGCTTTCATTAGCTGTTCTTTTTTTTCCACTTATTTCATTGACTGCATCTCTTTAATAAGGTTTGTTGGTTTTTTTACCTGTTCACAAACTGATTGGCCAATTCCTTTTTAGAAAAATGAAGATTTTTTTTTCTCAGAGAGCTGGTCCTTCTATTTTACAAACAGTAGGGTCAGGGAGGTGAGGAAAAAGGCTCTTAAGCCCCAATCCCTTACTTGTAGATGTGCTTTATCTTTACCACAGACATTTTTCAGGATGGAGGGAGGTCAGAAGTGGGGTTGTACTCGGATCTGTGCTGGGCCCTATTTTATTTAACAGTTTCCTCAAGGACCTGGAGGTGGGGGTGCACAGTGACATCTAGTTTTCAGGCAATAGCAAATTATTTTGGGTAGTCAAGTCCCAAGCTGACAGAGAGGAGTTGCAGAAAGATCTCTGTAGCAGGACACTAAGGTGCCTGCTACTGCGAGAGCCAGGAAGGCTCGTCAGGTGCCGGTTGCCAAGGCAACAAAAGGGGGCTAATGCGTTACACCTGCCTAGCCAGCTGAAAGAAGGGGCAGGGCCTGGCCTATATAAACCACAGGCAGGAGGCCAGGCGGGGGGTTCCCTACCACCAGCAAAGGCAGAAGGAGCTCCCTGCCAGAAAGAAAAGAAAAGCCGAGCCGGGATGCCAGAGCAGCATTGGTCACCACCAGGTGACAGAGAACCCTGGTAGGCCTGAGCACAGTTTGACTGGAGGCTTATGTTTGCTTTGTAGCCCAGGGGCTTGTGTCTGTGTTGCTGTTTGTTTATCACCGGTGGTTTGGGTGAGGCTATAAGGGGATGGAGGAGGCCTCATAGGGGACTCACGGTAGAGTGAGGACCCCAGCCCCAGTGAGGGCATGGAGTTCAGGGGTACAGACCCTAGCTCCAGAGAAGAGCCCGGTGAGGGGCGGCAACGTTGCGGAGGGATGAGCCTGGTGAGGGGTGGCAATGTTGCGGAGGGACGAGCCTGGTGAGAGGGCGGCACTACAGAGAAGGCCCCAGTGGGGGCGCGGAGAGCCGCAGGAGAGGGGCAGCAGTACAGAGAAGGCCCACAAGGCTTGGAGATACAGAACACCCGGAGCAGGAGAACTGCGGCCAAGTGGAGGAGAGGTAGCCTCCCTATAAAAACACAGATATTATCAAAGTCGTGGCAGGCGAGAACAGGAGTGTGCAAGTCTGAAGCTTGGCACAGTAGAGGAGGCGACGGGCTAGCACAGTGACCCTGTTACAATCTCACTTAAGCTAAATGAGTGAGTTTAAAAAAAAAAAAAAATGGCAGATGAACTTTAGTGTCAACAAGTTCAAGGTAATGCACCTAGGGAAAAATAACCTCCTACATACACAGTGCTGGGTTCTGAACTAGCTGTTACACTTGGGAAAGAAACCTTGGAATCATTGTAGAATGTAGATTGTTCCCTGAAAACATCAGCTCAGTGTGTGTGAGCAATCAACCCCCCCCCCCCCCCAAATAAAATGTTGGGCATCATTAAGAATGACATTGAAAACAAAATAGAGAACATCACCGCACCACTGTACAAAACCATGGTGCACCCATATCTTGACTGCTGCATGCAGCTCTGGTTCCATCTCAAAAATGACATAGGAGAACTCGAAAAGGTACAGAGAAGGGTGACCCAAATGATCAAGGCCCCAGAGCAGTTGCCAAACCAGGACAGACTAAAAAGGGCTAGGACCCTTTAGTTTGGAAGGGGGAAGGGATATGATAGATGTTTAAAAATGATGAAGGGTGTGGACCGAGCAAATTGTTCCAAGTCCCAGAATACTAGAACTAGGGGGCACCTATTGAAGTTAGTTGGTGACAGATTTATGGGACTTTACAGTGGATTATAAAATGGAGAGGCTGCTATCCTTTTAAAAACGCTGTTTTAGTTATCCAACAATTTTGATCAAATTAATATATTTCCAGTTTCTATAAAATTGGATATCTACTGCATTTTCTCACAAACCTTTTTCCCCTCAAAACCAGTTACTGGAAACTACTGTGCATGTCATATATGAGAAAAACAGTGAGGCAGAAATTGCTTTTACTGGGCAAAAGTGAAAGTAAAATCTGCATGCAGCTCTCAAGAGTAGAACAATGAGCAGGCCCAGCTCCCTAGTTCCTGCTACTCTGTTACTTTCCACAAGGAAAGATCTTTTTTTTTTTTTCTTTTTTTTTTCCTTTCTTTCCCCCCACCCCCTTCATTCAGCCTTTCAAAAACAAGGTGCATATTTTTATTCCAGGGCATGTTGTATGCAAGTAAATATGGTACTTGCAATTATTCAAGAAGTTAAAAGGAAGTTGAATTAATTCTCTGTAAATGGTCACTAAGCTGAATTGCTATGCAGAGCTAATAGCAAAACGTGAAAGACTATAGCAATTTAGCAAGTAGGGGGTTGGGAAGGTATATGTGATAAGACTTGGAGGGAAAAAACCTTCAAATAATAGAAATAGTGACACTGTTTGGTTACAGGTACAACGAGAAGGAACACGTAGACATTTTTAAAATGCTTACATCTACTTTTAGAATATATCTGTATTTAGAAGCAAGGAAAGTTGCTTGGAGAAACATTTGTTAGCAGCATTGACACATTTTGTATAGAATCTGATTTGGCGGGAGACCTGTGACCTTTCCTACTGCAGAAGCAACTAAAGAAAGTTGTTAAAAGGCATGTCATGCTGTTAACTCCTAAAATTAAAAACAGTGGGGCTCTCTCTCATCCCATGTTGGAAAGTACTAAGTTAGAAAAATATATTAGCAAGCCCAATAGCTCAATAGAGCAGAGATCTACAAGAACTCAATACTAATTTATACCACGTGAAGGAGGTGAGGTTTTTGGCTGCCAAGCTTTTGCTGCATGAACTCAGGAGACTCTCCCTATTCAAAAATGTTTTAATTTTGGGGGGTTTGTTTAGTGACAAGACCAATAAGAAAGGTTTTATGGGTTATAGGAAACCTTGGATTCCCAGCTCTAGGCAAATGCCAGCCAACAGCCTTGTTCATACTAGAATACATGATCCACTATTATACCCAAGTCAAAACTAGTGCTGTGTAGTAAGCCAATTTTCCATTTTATGGGAGACTCGAATTTAAAAGAATATTATTTTATACAGTAGGACAAACTTAAAACTTTGAAAATAAAAAAAATATTTGGGTTCAGTTGTTCAGTTTCAGTGTAATTATGACTCTTTAAAACTTCTGAAAATATGCTGATATAAAAGCAATGAATACTTTGAAAAAGTCAGGCTGACCTGAAAAAAGTCAAGAAAAAAACATCATTCTGAATTATGGAAATGATCAACCCCCCCATAAGTGTGTCAAAATTGATAGCTTTTGCTAAATACATCTACTTCTAACAAAAGTTAGCTTTTTTTTTTTTGTATAGCAAAGATAAAATATTTCTGATCAGCTCTAGCTATGATATTTTAACACCTGTTATGGAAAGCAGTTTGAACACCTGGTGGAACAGAAGGGAAATCTGTTCTTCACACATGCACACACTTATTTTTCTTTATGTAGATACCCCCACAAATGCTCTAGAGTTCAGTTCCGTTATTGTCCCTGTGGATGTAGTAATTCATTCCAGCTGAGCCCAGACAGAGTTTGCCTTCTGGCTGATTTAGTTGGCCATCTCTGCAGGGAGCAGAGGCAGCTGTGGTGGGTTCTCTGCTCTGGGAATTAACCTGGAGGGGACTACAGTGCATTACAGCATGCATTACACACAGTATCTTATTTTAGGGAATGCTTTACTGTCACATGTTTAAAAGAAGGAGCTTGGTAACAATGTGGGTATGACTATGGCAACTTCAGGATTTCTAAAAACTCTATTGAATAGAAATATGACTTAATTGAAGTCTACTCCTGTAATCAGAAGACATGCTTCCCTCCCTCCCCCTCCCAATTTGCAGGCTTACTCAATCCTCTGTGGCCTGGCACCTCTTCAAAAATAGCAGCTCCGTTATTTCTGTCCTTACTGTGTGTTTTGAGTGCTAATTTTATTTTTGTATGCACGCAAGGCTCAGTTTGTCAGTATATCAAAAATAAAGCCATTTTACACAACTTCATGCTAGGTCTGTGTTAATTACTGTTCTTTTTTTCTTTTGGGTTGCCCTGAAATAGTGTGTGATGCTGCTGTTATAATTTAAATACATTTGTCCAATAGGAAAAATGGGTCACAGTCTGGTGTGTATTGTCAGCCAGTATTCCTGGTAATTCTCAAGGTGCCTTTTAGGAGACCAGTTTATACCAAACCTTACTCTAACCCAAGGGAAGGATGCATCTAAGCCTAGTGGCACTCCCTCACTGGCGTTTAATGAGTCTGGAGTCTGTCTTCAATTAGGCAAGTTTGTTTGTTTGTTGGGGTTTTTTTTGTTAATAATACTGCAAAGCAATATGATATGCTTGTTAGTAGTAATGCAAGGGCTTCTTGCGGGTGGTTTAAATTATATATGAATTCTACATGATATAATAACTATAAAATCAATGTATTTGCTGCTCATAAAGTAAATCTCCTTTAACAAACATAATTGTTGAATATAGAAGAGTCACAAGCCTTTGACTATTTATATTTTTGTAAGATTCAATGTAGCTGCATAATTCTAAAAATAAATAAATGTTACACTGAAATGTGCTGCTTTAACACCACTGTACCCAAGATAGTCTGAAAAATGTACTCCAAAATTCAAATTATGTACACTTTTTTTTTCTTTTTTTTTTTTTTTTTTTTTTTTTTTTTTTTTTAATAAGGGGGATGATATAACAGCAGCAGTGGCAGAACTGAAGAAAAGAAAGATCCGAATATTGAGTGAAGAGCCCAAAATAGGTGCACATGGCAAACCAGTGATTTTTCTTCACCCTAAAGATTGCCATGGAGTACTTGTGGAACTCGAACAAGCATGAGCTGTGTTACTAATAGCTGAAACTATGAATTAATTGCAAGCCTCATTAGATGGTGTCAGGAATTGTAATATGCCTTTCAATGATAAGTCACTGTACTGAATCTTTTTTTCTTGTTGATTAGGCATCTCAGCTCTTGACTATTGAAACATAGCATTGGGTATAGGAGGAGCCTAAAGCACTGGTAACCTTCATCATTTGGGGCTATAATTTGTTGTTTTTCTGGTACAGATCTTAAGAAATAATATTAACATTTTGCTCAAATTCCCCTAGACCTGGGCTGACCATATGGACATCCGGGACATAATACCGGACACTGCCTCCCCGCCCTTCTCGGCACGCTCACAAATTGGTAGAGGCAGGGCTGTGTGCTGGGAAGGCAGCAGTGCCTGCCTGACAACCTGCAAGGCCCTCTACACCACTCTGACTCCTGGTCAGACTGTGCCTTGTACGCCTGCATTTCCAGGATGCCCATTGTAATTTCCAACAGCCAGCAGGGACCAGCCTCAGAAATCTAGGACTGTCCCAGCTAAAATGGGACATGTGGTCACCCTACTTAGACTATGAATCTATATAGCAACTCATGAGCTGGGTTGCATATATTAGATATAATGAATTATTTTCTGTTGCATCACAGTTTGTAGCATAATCTTACCTCTGTTGCCACAGAAACTGGGTTTATAGGTCGTTCCACGTAAGTTTTCTCTCTCTTTCAGTGAGGACCCACTTCTCAATTACAATATATTTCTTAAGGGAATATCTGAGCTAGGTCAACAAGGGAACACCCCATTTTTTTGCTTTTGCTGCCACAAGAGCTATCTGAGCTTCACATCGATTGGTTTATTCAAAAAAACCTTGCATTATTGCTTGGGTTTCTGAGATTGCTAAGCAACTCTTATCTAGCATAACAATTAGTGCCAAGAAAACATTCTGTGTATGTCACAATGTTGTGGCTTTACATATACTATGTATGTGAAAAATCAAGATTCCTTGATTTGTTTGAAATGCACGCTGGATTACAGAAATTAAAACTTCAGTTTTGTCAGCTGGTGTACACAGTTAACCTGTGCTGTTTTCTTTTCTTTTCTTCTTAAGTGACCTCCTATGCCTACACTAAAAATTGACTAATCAGAAAATATGGGGCATATATGCAAAAGACTAGTGAGTAATATTTTCACATACTATATATTACAGAGTTTGTTTGTTTTTTTGTTTTTCTTCTTGAAGGCATTTATGGAAACAGTGCTTATGATTTACAAAAAGGCAGCATATTAACAGGTCAGTTAATGAAAAACTTTTGTATGGATTTTTAGATTATAAAAAAAATATAAAACAAATACCTTGGGCCCTAATCCTGGAAACAGTTATGCATGTCAACTTTCCATGTTACTCATTTCCCTGAAATCAGCAGGACTGATATGAATATATTTTTGTTGGATTGGAGTTAGTAGATTAAATTGTTTCTTTCAATCTCCCAAAGATCCCATTTGATTTTGATGAAGATATCCACTGCCTGTGTAAACAAAGTGAGCAACAGTTAGCCAACCTCTATTTAAATTTTTTTGGTATCACTACCATAATCTATAAAAGTTGCAGATGGTGGTGTTCATCCTTTTACATGTAACCAAATAAAAACTTTATATAAATCCTTTAAAAAACAGATTACTTGTTTGTGTTTGTTGCTTGTTTATTTTACACAGAATAAAACATTTCTGAATTTCATTCTTTCACTGAGTTCTGCATATGCTGCTTGAGCTGTTTCATCCTTCTATGAAGACTTTTTTTTTTTTTAATCCAGTTTAATCTATGCTGTTCCCAGCAAGGGTGCAGCGATTTAAAAAAATATAAATAAATAAATAAATAAAAATTGGGGGCCGATATCGATGTACAGTTAGTTATTGACCAGCCATATCGACTGATACTGATCCGATTGCTGATATGCAGCCCAGGCAGCTTGGAGAGAAATGTCCAGTCGGTAAATCTGTTGGGAGGAAGGGACATGGGACGGAAGCGGTGGCTCATCCAGGGGACGCGGTGGGAGGGGCCGCTGTAGCTGCTATGCACACCGCCAGGGAAGTAGGGGGGGGCAGTGTGCGCCCTGGATCTGTGTGGGGTGAGGGTGGGCTGCTGCTGCATGCTTGGGGTTGAGGACTGCACCAGGCTCTTCATAGTGACTGTGTTGGAGCCAGACTGGGCAGGGTGGGGGGGAGGGGGGCTGCAGCAAATTTTGGAGTGGCTATAGTTCCCCCCCACCCCATAGCCCACCTCCCAGTGCCGCTGCCACCTGCCCTGCCCTGCCTTCACCCAGCCTGAGGGCAGCCACTGGGGAAAAGCTCAGCACAGTCCCTGGCCCCAAGCACAGCAGCAGCCCTCCCTCACCCTGCACACAGATCTGGGGGATACATGCCCCCTATGCCTCCCTGGAAGTGCATGCAGAGGCTGGAGCCACCCCCAACAAACCCCTGGTTCCATCCTGGACTCTACCCCAGCCCCACTCCCTCCCTCACCATGGGGGGGGCCTCTATCTGCCCCCCCCCACGCCCCTTCCCCACCACAGACTTATCAGCAAGATGCTGCTCTCAAAGCTGCTAGGCTGCATTCCTGGCCGTGTGCATGCTATGACTGTACACATGCATGTGGCATTTATTGGTGACATTATCAGTCACATCCAGCCAAAAAAAAGCCAATTACTGATAATGTAAATTTTCCTTTGATCAGCACCAATACAATATGGACTGATGTATCAGTGCACCTCTAGTTCCCAGGTGTATAGATGTTAAATTGTTGTGCTGCATTTCCTGTTCATTACAGTAAAAACAAGAAATGTATTATGGTTACCTGGGATTTAATAGGGGTTTGAGGTTGGCTTCTATATCGGTCTTCTGAAGCAAGAAACATGATAAAGTTAGAAAGCCAGTTCTTTACAAGTTACAAGTGATAATTTTGTCCTTGGAGCTCCATTCCTACGTGAAAACTAATGTTTACTTCATGGAAAAAACATTGAGTCTCGTGCAGGATTATTATACTTAGTTACTTAAGCTGTTTTTAGAACAGTTTGAGGCATATGAAGTCTAAATTTGGAGATGATAAACCCTCTGAAAGGTAGGAACTAAGGTTTGGGGTTTTTTCCTGATATGTGATTCTAGAACACCTCCACTCCTGTTAGTATTTTGGGTAAAGCTACTTTTGTTTTCAGATCAGTTCATTTGAGAAGAGGGAGGCTTCTTTTCTTTGAGATTAGGTTTAAGCATAAAAATGGCAGGATTAGAAGCTGTGTTGGTTACAAGTCAAGATTATCGATTGGTTGTCTTTGAACCTGTGACCATTGATTTGGGCTAGTGCTATAAAAATTGGAGGAAAATTTGTTACTAGGTTAAAGTTCTCTTGTTCCACCTCAAGAACTTTGGCTGGTTCATATGTCTTCGGTTGACTGAGGACTTCAGGGTAAAAGCCTGTTTCTTGCTTATTGGCTTGAGTTGGTGGTAAGTGAGTATAGTCTGGAGTTGATGCAGGTTTTGAGTGAATAGGATGTTTTCCTTCACATGCTGTCTGCCACACCACCACTGTTTGGTAACACATTCCCTATGTACTAATGGAAGACAACTTGCTATTCTTGCAACTGATTACCAGCAAGTTCTTCTCTAATTATCTTTGCTGAGGTTGTCCAAGATGTATTTGACTAATGTATTTGTCTTTCAGTAGCTCCCTGTTTCTGGATTGTGGGTAAAAACTTAGCATACCTATATCCTTTGTAGAAGGGACTCCATCTTAGTCTGAAGCTATGTCCTTTGTAAATCCAACCTTTCCTCCATCTCCAATATAACTGGTAATTTTTTAAATATCAACCAGTTTCACTATCTCCAAAAGACTTTCCATACCCTGTTACTTCTAGGTTTAAACCGAGTGTCCGTACCTGCTTCAAGTTTCCGCACCTCTCATTTCATGCTTAGCACCTGACAAGATCAGGGCCTGGGACTGGGGATTATAATCTGGATATGCTCTACAGGGTGAATTTGCACTTTTTCCATCAACCTTTCAGAAGTCACCTCAGGCAAGAGTCAGTTTAGCAAAGTTGTTGTTGAAATCTAAGATTAAGCCTTTAAAGCAATATGCAATTTAAACAGTCAGATTTTAACTAAAGAGGGGGCTTGGACCTACACAACCAGTCTTCAAAGTCTGTGGATAAGTCATGCCTGTTTCATACCCATTTCTAACTAAACCCAGGGGAAAAACAGTTCCTTTGCCTCTCTTCCCTCAAAGGGCTGCAATCCACTTACCTTTCCAGAATATAACAAGAGGACAGTTGTCCTCTAAGTCAACGGTTGCTCATGTGTTGTTTCATGTATTGTGGGTTGTAATGTTTTATTTTAAGACACTCCAATCATTTTTGTGAGGGTGGCATAAATAGTAGAATGAACGTGTTAACAAATAAATAAGTTCTAACCTGATCGTGTTGCAGCTTTATTGAGAGCACCACAGTTTCCCAAAGCTAGTAGAGGTAAAGGCTGAGCTGAAGCATGCAAGATATAGAGAAGGGTCAGGCCAGAGAGAAACTGGGAGTAGGAGGTTGTGGGCCTCCTTGCAAGGAAGAAATCTCTCTTGCAGAGAGAGATGGATGGCTGGAGAGGTGATGGTGGCTAACAGGGAATTCATGTATATTTGGGGTTTTTTTCTTTTGTTCTTCCTCCAAATTGGACTCATCCAGTTGTATTATGTGCAGGCCCAGAATTGGCCAGCTTTCCTTGTATCTCCCTTTGGGGAGGTGTGATGCTAATGTGAATATTCAAATCAATTTCATTGTTGTCACCTGACAATTAATATATTATTGGTTTGTAGTAAGTTGTACTGATTTACTTCTGTGTTTTTATGCTAACTAAAGGGGTGCGAGACACTTTTGTTTAATGGCACCCTTAATTAACAACACATTCAGTTGTAATATTTTATAGGTCACTTTTGAGACAGTAAAACTGAATTGTGATTTAAGTTATAAATCTGACTGGTTCAACCTGAATAATTTATCACTCAAGTGTCTAATAATGTCATATGTATGGAACATGCTGCATCCTACAGTTTGGACTTTTCCTCATTAAAGCCTGATCTTTTTAAATTTATAGTAACTTTTACTTTCATTGAAATAAAATCTTGGGCTGTGTATATGAGGGTAGCAAAATAATAAGGCATTTTTATAAATATATGTAAATCATTGAAAGATTTAGTGTCAAAATTTATTTTTCTAAACAATCTCTAGAAATATCTTTTTGCAACAAATTGTAAAAGGCATTAAGTGGCTAAGGCAGATAAGGTTCTTTGAGTGAATCTGATATCTTTTATTAGACCAACTAAATAGTTGAAGAACAATTTTTAAGCAAGCTTTTGGGTTCAAAAACCCTTCATCAGGCTAAGGAAGTTTCAGCAGTTGGTGTGTGCTCTTCCTGGATGCAATGAAAAGTAAAGAAGCCAGAGGCTGGGCTGGTATGCCTACAAGACAGGTAGTCAGTGAAAATGTAGATTGAGGAGTCAATGGGTGAGAGAGAGGCAGGGGTGAGGAGAGAAGGGGGATGAATAGGTTGGCATACTGTGGGGCCATTTTGGTGCCCATAGCTTTTCCCATCTTTTGGAGAAGTGTTGGTTTTTAAAAGTGAAATTGTTGTGTGTGAGGATGAAGTGTATAAAGTCAGTAATATCTTTGGGTCTGTATTCTGAGTTGTAATCTTGTTCCTGTAGATATGTAAGGCAGGCTTGGATGCCATCCTGGGGTGGGATGTTGGTATATATGTTGGTAATGTCCATGGTGGCTTAAGAGGGTGTTGCTGGGAAGGTGGTCTATGTTTTTAAGTTCCCGTAGAAAGTCTGTAGCGTCTTGGACAAAACTTGCTCTGTGGGTGACGAGCGGTTTTAGGATTGATTCAACGAAACCTGATATTTCCTCAGTTAGGGTCCCATGGTTGGAGATGATAGGTTTGCCAGGGTTCCCTTGTTTGTGGAGTTTAGGGAGCATGTAAAAAGTCCCCAGATTAAGTAGTGGGGGGATCAAGGTCTGTAGTTTTTCTTGTAGTCCTGTTGGAAATGATTTGATAGTATTGTTGAGTTTCTTGGTGAAAAGGGAAGTAGGATCTTCTCTTGTAGTTCTTTGTAGTAGGTGGTGTCAGAGAGTTGTCTGTTGGCTTCCTTTATGTAGTCTTCACGGTTTAGGATGACTATGGCTCCTCCTTTATCTGCTGGTTTTATTACTGTTTGGTGGTCAGATCTTAAAGATTCTATGGCCTTTTTCCCTGGTAGAGAGAGGTTGCTATAGTGGCGTATGTTGCTGATTATTTCATTGTTCATTCTTTCCCTGAAGCAGTCAATGTAACGGTCAAGGTTAGGGTTTCGTCCACTGTGAGGTGTCCAATCTGAAGTTTTTTTGGGTTTTTTGGGGTTGATCTTTTCCTGTGTGTTGTCAGAGTATGAGTAGTTGTTGGGAGTGGATTCAGTTTGGTCATGGAAATATTCCTTGAGGCGGAGGTGTCGGAAGGATTCTTCTAGTTCTCCACATTGAAGTATTTTATTAGGTATTTTTCTGGGCAGAAATTTAGGCCTTTAGAAAAGACAGATTTTTCAGTTTTGGTAAGCGTGTGTGTGAAGAGAGTGATGATATCTGAGAGTTGGTTGCTGTTTTTAGTTTCATCAAGTCTGAGGTTGAACTGTTAAGTGACTAATATTCCAATATACAACTGATACTTAAGATATTGACTTGATTCCTAAAACATAATGATTGCTG